CCCCAAAACCCCAAAACCCCAAAACCCCAAAACCCCTTAAAATTTGGCCAAAATTGAGATTAAAGGTCAGTTTATAGCTCTGCTAGTTCAGAATCGAGGAGTTCGATCTGGTAGTTAAGATCCACTGCAGTGTCTTGGATCCATCTTAGAGAGTCGTAGGCCTGGTTCAGTACTTTGCCAATCTGTTGCTCTTCTTCATCTTCAGATGATCCTTTCTCATGGTTATTTGATACCACTTCTCCAATATTTTTGATTGTTGATTCTATCTGGTCCAATGAATGGTTCACATCATTAGCTTTGTTAGCCATCTGTTGTCTGTAGTTGATCTTCGAGTTCATTTCATCATCACTGGAGAAATGAGTTCCTCTGAATCTATTGTAGGTATTGATACCTTGTTGATTCTTAGCAATTGCTTCATCAATTTCCCCATCAATCTTCTCAAGAGAGTCCATAAGAGTCTTTTGTTGGGCTGCAAGTCCTTGCATTGTATTTAGAGTGATTCCATAGTCCTGGATAACTCTCTCAGAGTAGCTATTCAATGTTTCTAAAGTAGCTAGGTTATCATAGAGAAGTAGCTCATCTCTTTTTAGAACCTTGGCCTGCTCCTTGAACATCTTAGATTGACCCTCAACTTTGTTATACCAATTGGAGAAGATGTCTTCAAGAGTTGATGAGTCTAAACCAAGTTTCTGTGCATCATCTAAGGTAGCCTTTTTGATTAGCTCAACATTATTGCTTTTAGCAATCGGATTAGTCTTCTGTTCTTCCTTTTTGTCTTCTTCCTTCTTGGCGCCTGGCTGGAAAGCGGGAAGTTTACCTTTAGATGATCCAAATGCGCTTGGTTTTGAGGCTATTTATTAGGGATTTATAACATACCTGAAGCACCTCCAAAAGGAGAGGTTTTCTTTTCCTCTGTGCTATCTTTCTTATCTTCAGCAGGTTTAGCTCCAAATCCTTCGAATTTGGGCTTACTTGACTCATCGTTAGACTTTAGCTTTTGGAATAATTCTTTGGATGGGCCCTTTGCCTCTTCTGTCTGTGGTTTCTTCCCAAACATTCCTCCTGCATCCTTCTCAGCAGGTTTTGATGGGAATAAAGAGCTGCCTGGCTTTTTATCTTCTGCAGGTTTTCCAAATGCTGGCTGGGTAGTAGTCTCTTTCTTTGAGCTCTGTTCCTTCTGCTTGTCATTACCGAAAAGACTTGGTTTAGGCTTATCTGTTTTATCTGTGGTTTCTTTGGATGATACAGTAGGTTTTCCAAAAAGAGTTGATCCACCAGTGGTAGCTGGATTAGTAGTTTTGGCACCGAAAGGTCCAGTTGATTTCTTTTCTTCAGGCTTTGTATTTCCTCCAAAAGCCCCTCCTGTTGGTTTTGAAGATATTTGACCGAATAAACCCCCTGCGGGCTTCTTTTCTCCTTCTGGCTTTGGTGCTGAGTTTGGCAAAAGTCTAAATAATGAGGTAAAATTAATAAATTACGAAATTCCTCCAGAAGGCTTGTTAGAGAGTAAGGAAATCCCTGGCTTATCATCTTTCTTAGCTGTAGTGCCTCCAAATAACCCTCCTGGTGCTTTTTCATCCTTCTTTAGGGCTGTGCTTGATTCAAAAGGTGATGTTGATGGCTTTTTATCATCTTTGGGTGTTGATGAACTCCCAAAGAATCCTCCAGAAGATTTAGCTCCCTTATCATCTGTCTTTCCACCAAAAAGACTTCCTGGTTGTTTTGATTTTTCAGCTTCTTTTGAGTTATCTTGGCCCTCTTTGTTAATTCCTCCAAAAAGTCCTCCTGAACTTTTAGGCTGATCATTTTTGGGTCCGAATAAGCCTGTGCCACTAGAAGTAGAACCTGAGAAGAGGCCCTTAGAATCTCCAGGTTTCTGTGTAGATTCCTTCTTGGCTCCTAATGCAAATCCTCCTGTAGAATCGGAGGGTTTGGATGCTTCTGAAAGCAAGTTTCCGCCACTAGCTTTATCGGACCCAAATAGCCCACCCTTGCTTTCTGTTGGCTTGTTTCCAAATAAACCTCCTCCTGGGGGTTTAGAGGTTGCTGTACCGAAGATACCTAGATGCATTGCTCCTAAAATTGCTTACCTTTCTTTTCGTCGCTTGGATCTGACATTATACTTTAGACTAATTTTTATAAAATTTTAGCAATTTTACTCTTATGGGTAGGGGTTTTGGGGTTTTGGGGTTTTGGGGTTTTGGGG